CAGTGATACACACAACAGGTGATTCAGAAATGGGATGATACACATGCTTTATGTTACCATTCAAGTATTCTCAGATTTTCCCACACTAACCCAACAGAATGTTCCTTCTCTTCTGCTGGGTAGTCCTGTTCCTGAGTGCCAGTATTTTTCTATTGCACTTCATTAAGCCCCAGAGCCCAGCTTGGCCACTGCCTAAGCATAGCAACAGTGACTGATATTTAGCAAAGAATGATTAGAGGCAATAGTTTAACTCATACACAGCAGAGAAGACCCAAACCAGAATGGACCAGAAGTTCATACTGTCTATCCTTTCCTGTTCAATTTTCAGTTCCAAGAAAGGATTAAAAGAAATAGCACTGAACATACTATCATTCATACCAAACCAGTACTTTTGTGTGAATGAATTTTAGCTAGCTTTTTGGTTTAAATTTAATGATAGATTAAAAAAAAAAAAAGAGATAATTTCATCATCTTGTAGAGATTTGTATCTCCCTTATGAATGGACATGATGTTGGCTACATCAGTCACAGATTCATATTCATGGTAGAAATTTTAGATTGCAAAATTCAGTTCCGGCCTCTGAGTGATCAGGTCAAATTTTTTATCCCTAGCAAACTGTAAACTTAAGTAGTAAAACAGACAAATTCCAGTCTGTGGTGTATTATCAGTTTCATCTTCAGATAACAGCAAGCAAAACAGTCCACAGCACAATTTTCCCAAGCCCCCGGCCTGTCTCACAGCATCACTAAACCCTGAACTCTCAGAGAATATTCTGTTGCAAGAAGTTATTCAGGGTACATCTACCCAGGCAACTGCAGACAGATGTGGACATGCTCTGTTTTCAGCCTGAGCTGCCAAGACCGGTCCGGAAGCCATGGAGCCACAGCAGCTCTTCACACACAGGCCTGGGAGCAAAGCCACGCTGATGCGGCTCTGTGGCTTCCGGCTCAGAGCTGGTGCAGGTCTGCTTGGCTCATGGGCCGAGTGAGCTCACATCTGCCTGCACCCAGCGTGTCTCCACATCTTACAAAGTCCATCCACACAGCTGTCAGCTCTTCAAGTATAGCTAACAGGTTCCGGTATGGAGCAGTAGAGCTGAACAAGAACAGAATTCCATAAATCAGTAAGAGCAATATTTTTCATTAGTGGGATGTTAAAATGCCAGTGGTTTCCCCTAATCAAATAACTGAAAAAAAAATCATGTATATATATATATATATATATATATATATCTACACATATACATATGGGTAAAAGAATACTATGATGGAGTAATTTCCTAACTAAATGACCCACTCAGGGATCTGAGCAGAAGGATAAGGGATTACCAGAACTGATGGCATCATGGACAGGAATCCCCTTAAAGACAGACAGTTCTATATTTAGCATATCATATTTAATTCAACCAACAAAAGCCCAAAAGTATCAAACATTTATTACTACCCCTAAATGAACCTTTAAAATAAATGTAATTTTTATTAGCATCTGCTTGAATTAGGAACAGTACACTTAAAGGACAGAGCTTTACTTTTTCTAAAAAATCCAGGTCAAATCAGTTATTTAGGTGTGACTGTAAAGGGAACAATCTTTCCTTAATCAATTCTGCACAAAAAAAAAGGATCAAATCTCTGCTACACAATGTTTCTTAATTATAAAAAAAAATGGTTATTATTAAATAAATTTAAAATCTAATAATTATTCTGAGATCAGAACAAGATGATTAAGTTCCTGTAAGGCCTGTGAAACTATACATCTGGATATAGAGAAAAAAATAATCTGTTCACTTCTAGTGTTATCTGGACATAATACCCACAGGCTGCAAGCCTTGGTCTTCCTAAGCCTGCCTTCCCCAGACCCTGGGCACAAGGGCAGAGATGCTCAGCAGGGAGTGGCACCACGAGAGTTATTGCACTGCAATGGTCAGAGTGCCAGACCTGCACACAGCCAGCCCCTGTGCCGGCCACTGCTGGCACTGGGAGTGTTTGCTTTAGCAAATTGAAGATGCTGTTGATGGGAAAAATGGGTGTTTGTTTCTTTCTCAGTCTTTGTTTAGTGTAGAGTACAAAGACATTGGCATTAGATTTAAATTTCGAGCACTCAAAACTTGAGAAACTGAAGTGATAAGCAAATATTTCTGATATTCAATTTGTCCTGAAAGCAATACTGCAGGTGAAGGATAGATGTGGGGGGAAGGGAAGCCGAGGAGGGGGGGAAGAGCTTTTTGTTAACTATATTGAGCAAGAGATTTTCTGGTAGGTAACACTCCTAGGAAAAGCCTCAAAGGCCTCCAGATGTGCTACTACTGCACTGGAGCGGCTGCAAACACTCCACTAACAGCTCGTGGTTCCTGGCTCTTCCAGACAGAGCCATCTCCTGGCTGAAGTGAGGAAATTCATTATCTGGAGACAAGGCTGGTTAACAAACCAGCTCATCAGCAGATCATAGCTAAAGACCCATGCTTTTTTAAACACATCAGAGCACTCTGGGCAGGATGCACTGAGATCCACCTCTGTCACTGCTGTGAATGTGCCTGTTTGAAAACCTGAGATATTTGCTGAAACCTTTTGGATATATAAAACACACTATTTGCACTGCAGTAATCAGCAGAAGAGAATCGAGGCCTCTGTCCCAAAAAGAATCAGAGAACTTCAGGTCTGCAGATGATCTTTCAGCTTTGTTCAGTCTAAGACAGCGTTATGTGTTCAACCGTGAATTCATGTTTGGCTTCTACTCTCTCTCAGCTCTCTTGTTATTCCCATTTCCAGTATTAAAAATAGTATCCTGTGTTTGTTTATACCTGTAAGAAACACTGTGCATCTGGTAACTGCAGGGTCTAAAATCTGATCTTGTAGCAAATATTCCTAGGGCAGATACAAACTCTGTCAAACTATTTATCTTTCTTTATGTTGTTTGTGTAGCTATTGCTATGCAGCTACCTGTTCTCACCACAGCAAATTCTGTACATCACGAGCTTACAGGGATGAGCAGGGCTAAAACTCTGAGCAAAGGATGGGAACAAGCAAAATATACTTCTTTTAGAGCATTGTATGATGCTATAAAGCTTGTTATGTAACCAGATAACTGAAATAATATCAACTTCCATCCTTAATGAAGGCCCACATCAAGCCAACCCCAAAAACTCACGTTGGGCTCAAACTGGCTGGCTAGTTCTACTGGCAGTTGCTTTTCAAGACTTATGTGTATCCAGAAAAACAAAAAGTAAAACCACAGGTGGCAGGAACCATCAGAAAGAGCCACGAGAGCACTTCCAGGTGCTGTGACGTAAGTGCATGAGCTAAGGAACAACACAGTGAAGAAACAATCTCCTGATGTTTGACTGATTTCTCCTGCAGGAACAAACTTTTAAAATAAATACAGTTCAGAGATTCCTGAGTATCTCTCCTTTCTAAGAGAAACTGCATGCCAAGTTCCCATTTTAACTATCAGGTCACAAGGACAGCACAATTTTTCAGCCACTTCTATATGAACTGGATTTGAGCTAGTGACCAGTAAGTGCGAGATTTTCTAGTCTTGTCAATCTTCCGAACCACACACGTGGTTCAGGACTGCATAAAACAAACAAACAAAATGGATGTACAAGAATGTAACTACATCTGGACTGTTTTTTGTTTGCAGAACCGCCTGAAATTTCAGAAAGGGTTAGTTTGTTATAGGGGGAGTGAGACTCATGCTGTCCTACAAGAAAAGCTAATCCCTTTTAAGTTCTCTTCTTTAAGTTACTTCTCTCCCTTCCTTAAAAAACTGAATTCATCAATTCTGAGTACGGCTCAGAGATTCCCTGCTGACAGATCCATAGGTAACCTATAGCAACTGCAGCCTGTGTCAGACAGCTCTTTTGCACCGTGCTGCTTCTCCTCCCAGCACATCAAAACGCACAAGGGAATCTAAAGAACAAAACATTTTAGGGAAGGCATGCGACTCTACTCTCTTCTATCCTTAGCACATCACTTCCTCATGCTACATTGATGTTTTCCTGGGAAAACTCTCCTTCCATCTCTCCAAAAAAATCTTTTATCATGCACTGATGTTTTCTAGCAGTGTGGGACACAACCAGTTATGAGTCTATGGTCATGTTGTCCGTGTTAGACATGCAAGGACACGAATTGGCTTCATTCTGTGAAAAACCATGGGAAGTGAGATGCAAAGGTGGCATTTAAGAATAAAATTAGTGCTGGATTTGTGTTTTAACTCTCAGTGTTTTCCTAAGTCTAGGAAAACATCTTTCTCTTAAAATGAAAGATGAGTTTTTGACATATCTATTATGTTCCAGAAGCTGAGGCTTCAAGGAAAGGCACCAAATATTACAAGATCTGTTAAGGTAAAGTTAGCTTTGCTACTCTTCATGTCTCCTCTCAGCACTGTGTACATGAGAGGGCTTTTGTCCATCTTACTGGTTTGGTTGTTACTGTAATCAGCTGGAAGACATAAATTTAAAGGGGAGAAAAGCTTTCCAAAGGCAGCCAGTTGAGCATCCTGAGCATTGGGATCTAGATCATTTACTCTGGCACCAGCAAGGTGGCACCATTCAAGCTTCCACCTTTAATGTATTAAGAAACCACTTTCACTTCTACCTGAAGCCAGGCATACATCAGTAACTCACTGGACATATGTTTTTTTTTTCCCAGTATTTCTCTCTCTGCAGCAGATTTCTCAAAGCACTGCAAAAGATTACAAACTAAATATGCTTTTTCATCTTCTTTGTGTGGTGCATTATTTCAATTGTTTAAATTTAAGGTAGACTTTTTGGTATGGTGGGGTAAATGTTTTCCAAACACTTAACTTCTATTTCTATAGTACCTGTATGAAGTATTAGAGAAATGTTCCTACTGATTAAAAAAGATGGTCATAGCTCTACTTTAAATCTTAATGTGCAGCAGTTCCTGGCTCTCCAACATTTATTCAGTTAAAAAACAGTGGTGATTGCATGCACTATTTAGGAAACTTCAGTGGCTATTGGAACAAGCATTGTCTTCACTTACCTTGAGACAACCAGGGGGAGAATCAACATTTTCAGCATCCTCATCAGTAACTCACCGGGAAACTGGAAATAACTGATTTCCTGGAAATACACAGAGACATGCTCACTGTTTTGAGACAGCCTGCCCTTGTGAGTCCTGCTACAGCTGTTGGTCAAGTGGTATAAGCAGGTAAAATCTGCAGCTCTAGTAGGTAAGGTGGCAAAGACTGTACGCTTTAAAAGACTATTTTAAAATTAATTAAATTACATACTGTGTCTCAATTCAACAAAAACACACAGAGCATTTTTCCTTTGTAAAGTAAGACAAAAATGAAACATGCTGCTTCCCTACTGTGAATAGGTTGCCCTGAATAATCCTTTTATTCTGCATTTCGTGTGTTTTGCTAGCTGTGTATGAAGCTACTGACTGGACACAAAAAGTGTTCAGACTACAGTTAGAGCAGCAGAACAGAGAACTGTTTGAAGGTATTGTGTTTACTAAGTGCCATCATTTTTAATTGAGATTTACACTGTGTACTCAAAGCATTCAGCAGTGCCTGTTGTCCTGTTTACTGACAGATGGATACAGCAGTAAGAAACAAGTACCTGCAAAGAGCTTAGCTGAAGTACACTGGAGGAGAAATCCCCAAGGGAATTTAATATCATGGTTGGTTAAAAATGGGAGATCTCATATTTATTAATATAAAATACCATCAGTGTAGCACAAACATCTGTACCTCCGTACACCTGATGGTGAAAATTATTGCCAGTGTTTTCTTTAGATGTACACATAACATAAAATCCAACAAATATACTGTTTTTAACATTCATGTTGCTTATTATTATCACGCTGTTACAGTGGGGCTATACTGGATTTATTAGTGTCTTAAAGACCAGAACCTCTGCCATACACATAGTCTGAGAACTGTGAAAGCCCCAAGGAGCAGTGTGTAGATTAACAAACAAATCAAATTACACTAATTGAACAAGCACACAGACATGTTTTTTATCTTGAAAAATCCATCCTGAAGTTCCACAAGTTGACGTGCCTTTTGTTATGTAAGTATTTTCCCTGCAGTGATGCACTCTGCGGTGCCACACGTACCTGCTGGGAGAGCCGCCTCGTCCTGAGGAAGAACCCAAGGAGACAGCCAATGGTGACCGACAGCACCGAGAGGATGAGCAAACCGTTCCTTTTACAAACATCCTTGATCCGAGCGAGGATCGCATCCAAAGCCACCGCCATGGTGTCCTCCGTGCTCCTTGGAGAGGAATCAGCATCCCATGGAGAGAGAATCCACTCGCTCCTCTTGTTGGAGAGGAACAGACCTCGCTCTGTATAGATCAGATCAAAGCACTTCCAGTTCTGCTTAGCTGACCTGCAAGGTCACCCCTCTGCCAATCGCCACCAAGCAAGCAGCTGGCATTATTGTTCCAAATTAATACCGACAATCCTATTATCGACTACATCATTAAGAGCCTGCAAGAAGATTAGGGGGCTCTGGAAAATTAGAACGGAATGCAGTAGTATTTCTAAAACAAGACTGCTTCAAAACAAAGTGACATGCTCAGAGCATTCTCTGGTCTTCCCAGTTTGGGGTCTGGCCGTCCACTCTACAAAGGAGCAGTGAAGTCATGCTCACCAACACAGAGAAGGAACGTTACCGCGCTGTTTTTCTGTGCAGGGCAGAGTGGGTGACGTTTTAAACAGGACTATCACAACAGGGCAAGCCAGGTAAAACTAGACTTCATTAATTAAAGCAGGCTTGGATTTTTTTGTTTTCCTGACGAAAACAAGAATGAAGGTGCAGCGTAAGAACCACACATCGATCAGAAACCAGAATTATGCTGAAACACGGAAGGGAAAGCTGCTGGCATTTGGCATCTATTATCCTGCAAGCAAAAAGATTTCACTTTTTGTTCCACCACTCTGTTGATTAGAGTAGGGCCAATTTACTTTCAGAGGATTATCAGAGTAAGCCATGGGGATTGCTTTCCTTTCCTTCACCGTGTCTGCACTCAGTACCAATGCTGTTTTTATGAGCAAAAATACAGAGCCATGACTGCTCACTGCGCTGCACTCACTGAAATGCTATGCAGAAACCAAGATACTGATTGTTCAGTATTTTTATGGAAAATACTCCACAGAACACATTTGAGTATTTGCAATGCTTTGTTTTATACTGCGAGGCAGTGTGTGTAGGTACGTGCTCACGTGTGAGCAATGGGGTGAGCGAACAGGGAGCTCAAGGGTCGGCAAAGCTTCCTCCTGGAAGCACGAATAGGACGCTGTATGGTCTGCAAGGCATATGGACACACACACCAAACACAAAAAATATACGATTCTGCGTGGTGAATAGGAGTGCTGACAAAGCAACACAGTCATGTAAAATTTTATTAATGCTTATGCAAGAAAGTACTGAACTCATACTGCCATCTGAGCTCAGACACAAGGCACACAGGTTTGCTGCCGTTCCGGAATGCACACAAACAGGGGAACTGCAACCCCGAGCGCGGCAGCCTTCGCCCTTTAGGCGGCCCGCCGAGCCCCTCACTGCCCGGCCGCGGCTACACTCCGCGGCGTCCCCTGCGCTGGGCGGGCGCTCCTCAGTCCCGGCCCGGGCGGCGGCAGCGGGAGGAGCGGGGCGGTGCCGCGCGGCGAGTGACCGGGCAACATGGCGGCGAGGCAGCTGGCGGCTGGGCGGGACGCGTTGTGCCGTTGGCGGCGGGCGTACAGCAGCGCGGGCGCTGCCGAGTTTCTGCACCGCAGCATCGTGCCCACCATGCACTACCAGAAGAGCCTGCCCAGGTACCGCGGGCCGCTGCCCCTGGTGGGCCGGCGGCCCCGCGGGCGCCTAAGGGACGCAGGGCCTTGTAAGGAGCGTCCTCGGGCAGCGGGGGACGCGGGCTGAGGTCGGGAGCGGCCGGAGGGGCTGTGAGCGGAGGGCAGCCGTCTTTCCTCGTGGTGGTGCTCAGCCGCGGTCCCGCTGGGCTCGCTGGCTGTTTGTGGGTACTCATCTGTTTCGTGTTCGGGCAGAGAGGAAGCTTTTAGCGATACTGGTGGGAAACGTGCAAGAGAATGGTGATGCGGGAGCCCAGGGACGGCAGGAGGCTGCCAAGGTGCGTGGGCCTGTGTGGAGTCGGGGTCGGACCAGATGGGCCTTACGGGCCCTTCCGACTCGGGATACCCTGTGATTCGGTGATTCTGTGAAATTAAACCTCTCTGCTGCGTGGCTGCTGCGCCTTGCAGCTGTTTGTGTCGGTGTGTTGCCTGCAAGGTCTTAAGAGCCTTCACTGCAATAACAGCAGTCGCGTTTTGCTTCTCATGAGGGCATTATGCTGTGCTGACATATTTATCTATTCCCTTTCTCCTCCTTTCATTAAGAAACTTCTAAGCCATTGAGATAATAAGGGATATAAGGAAGGATAGAGAAGCGGGGAGAGAAATTGCGACCGCACTATAAGAAGCTGAAACCTCATCAGTACCATTGCTCAAGTGTCTTTGTTCCCCTTCCTTCAGACTGCCTGTTCCCAAACTAGAAGATACAATTAGGAGATATCTGAACGCCCAGAAACCTCTTTTAAATGATGACCAGTTCAGGTACGGACAAATAAAAGTCATAATGCAGAACCGTTTGTTGCTTTAAAGTTGAATGTTACATATCGAAAATATGAATTGTGAAAGCATTTCAAATCTTTTACTGATTGCTGTAGGAAAACTGAAGAACTTGCTCATCAGTTCGAAAAGGGAATTGGAAGAGAGCTGCATGAGCAACTAGTTGCTCAAGACAACCAGAACAAGCATACTAGTTACATCACAGGTATGTTGGCCAAGGGATATTCTGCTTCTGGAGAGCTGTGAAGGTGGTGAAGGGTCTAAAAGGCAAGCTGTATGAGGGGTCCCTTGGTTTGTTCAGCCCAGAGCAGAGGGGGCTCAGGGGAGGCCTCATGGTGACTGCAGCTATTCACAGGGAGAGGAGGGATGGCAATTGAGCGCTGCTGACTGATGGCAGCGATGGGGGCTGAGGGAACAGCGGGGAGTTGCCTCAGGGAAGGATCAGGTAGGGGTGAGGGAAAGGTTCTGCCCCGGAGGGCGGTGGGTACAGTCCTTAACTGCTGGTGCTTAGGGAGCATTGGGACATGCTCTCATAGAGTTTGGTTTTTGAGTGATCCTGTGTGCGCCAGGGTTTGGACTTGGTGATCTTTGGTGAACCTTTCCAAGTCAGGTCATTCTGTGTTTCTGGGATTCTGATTGGATGCAGAAGGAGTCTTTAGGTCATCATACTTCATAATAGGCAGCTCATAATGCTACAAATAAAATGGGTTAAAGCTTAAGCTCTCTGTTGCATAAGCTTGGAATAGCATGCTGTGAATATTGCCTGTAACAGTATTTGTGCAAATTCTGAGTATCTGGTAAAATGAAGAAGGCCCTTCATGTAACTTGAATGTACCAAAATTCTGCAGGATGGTGGAATGTTGCTAAACAAGAATTGCAGTCCTAAGGACATTTTTTTTTTCCTTTTTGAATAGGAAATATTCAAGTAGTTGAGTGAGAATGCTCACCGCAGTTGAAAAGGGAGGGAAAGAAATGGTGCTATTGGAGTGAAAAACAATGGGAGGAAGAGATCAACCACAGGCATAGTCTATATTACAAGTTAATTGCACGGGCAGCCCTATTAAGGGAATGAAAGTGATTATTTTCAAGTAATTCGAAGTTACTTAGCAAGAAAACAGAACTGTGAGGGAGGTTAGAAAGTGGTCGGTACTGTGGACTTGAAACAGTGCCCTCCAAAAAAAACCAAACCAACCAAACAAAAAACCCCAACAACTAGGAACACATGTTTTTATAAAGAGGAGAAGAAACTGAGAGATGCAGAAAGTGAAAGGTGAGAATAAAGGAGTACAAATTGAGAGGGAGGTATACATAGCTTTTAGGTTGTTCTTCCTAATTGTTGTTTCGCTGACTTCCAATGCAGAAGCAAATGCATAAGCTTGTGAAAGTTTTGAATGGATGGGTAGCAACAAAGGTGGAAATATTCAAATACCTGTGGAATTAGGAGTTTGCATGTTGTCCTCTCTGTCTACCAAGATTACTCACTAGGGTGTTGGCTTTGCAAGTTGCACAGCAACCACAAATTCTGTAGAGAATAGCAGAGTATTACATACAAGCTGCTGTTCGGTTTATTAGCTCATGCTATCCATTCCCTTTGTACAGTAGGTGGAGTTTTAACTGCTGCTGACTCTTGTGTTTGTCAAGACTAACCAACATGCTTCTGCTTTGTGTCAGTGAAATACAGAGCTTTTATCTTCCTTTTATTTAGTTATTATTCCTTTTTTAGGCCTCATAAGAGATACTTTCAGAAACCAAGCGGAACATATGTATAGTTGCCCCCATTTTCATCTTTCAAGACCAAGGTTAAAAGGCGATGTGACAATGAGGAATGTGGTTACTAATCAGTGAGGACCAGGAATTATAATTGTGACTTAGATCCTTGAGTTAGCCCATTGCCCTTCTTACAGCCCATCAGCTGTCTTTGGTGGCCGCGTGCTTCCTTTGTCTGCTTCCTGACAGTGTGTAGTACCAAACCTTACTGAGTTCAAAGTTGTTAATAATAGAGCCTACTTAAAATAAACAAATGAACAAACAAAACCAACATCCTTCCTGCCTTAACTCCTGGATTTTGTTTCTCAGAGACACGTGTGTAGGCATGACCACATCTTAGAGCTAGACCTTGGTTATGGCAAGGACAGAACGTTTCTTTCACATTTGTGCTTCTTGATATGTCAACAGGCCACACAATGAAGTGAGACTGTCTAAAAGACCTGGGGTAGCAAATGTAATTCTTCCTGAAGTCTATTCTCAGCCTGAAAGAATTACCTTGAGGTTCTCTCTAATGTCATCATTTTGCCAGTTCTGTTCAGTGTTGATAGTGTCAGTGGATAGAAAGAGGAAAAAGTTATGATTTGTTAGAGACATACAGAAAACAAGGAAATTTTCCCTCATTGTAAACAACATTGACAATCTTTGTACAAACAGCTCCAAATTCAGTGTTTTTACTAGTAACCAGCTGTACTCTTTGCATGATTGGACATTGGGAGAATCCTTGGACGAATTATTGCTTATGTTTTTCCTGTTCATATGTGCTGCAGTAGGTATTTATTTATGATCACTGGGGCAGGATATTGACTTTCTGAACGTCTGTTTGATTCAGAATGCTGCTTTTATGTTCTGACCTGTTTCTCAAC